GGCAGCTGAATAGGAGTCAGCAGTGTGCCCAAGTGCCCAAAAAAGCCAATGGCATCCTGGCTTGTGTTAGGAATAGTGTGGCCAGTAGGAGTAGGGAGGTGACCATCCCCCTGTACTTGGTGGGTCCACACCTTGAGTAGTCTTCAGTTTTGGGCACCTCAATGCAAAACAGACATTGAGGTGCTGGAGAGAGTGCAGAGAAGGGCAACAAAGACGATGAAAGGCCTAGAGAGTAACTCTTATGAAGAGCTGCTGAGGGAACTGGCGCTGTTTAGTCTTAAGAAAAAAAGGCTGAGGGGAGACCTTATTGCTCTCTACAACTACCTGAGAGGACATTGTAGAGGGGTAGGTGTTGGTCTCTTCTCACAGGTAACTGATGATAGAACAAGAGGGAACGGACTCAAGCTGCACCAGGGTAGGTTTAGGCTTGACATTAGGAAAAATTTTTTTCACTGAAAGGCTTATCAGGCGTTGAAATAGGCTGCCCAGGGAGGTGGTGGAGTCATCATCCCTTAATGTGTTTAAAAGTCGCTTAGATGTGGTGCTTGGCAATATGGTTTAGGGGTGTACTTGGTAGGGTAGGGTTGATGGTTGGACTTGATGATCTCAAAGGTCATTTCCAACCTGAGTGATTCTATGATTCTATTCTATGATTTAGAGCAGTGTTTTCACTTGGCGATTCACTATGTTAGTTACTATACTAAAGGTCTTAAAGAATGAGGCAACTGAAGTCAAAAGTATATTTCCCAGCAAACAGTGGCTCCTTCCTGCTTAATGCCAATTTTGACTCAAGACACTGGCTAATTTTGTAGAAGTTAGCGCTTCTGCTCCTTTTTTTACTCTTTTTCTGGTGCCAGCTGTTATGTATCGGAGTGAAAAAAAGAGGCTGCTTCCCAGTATGACCTTAAACCCCCTCCACTTTCAGTAGAGGTGATCCCACTTGGAAACTCAAATGTTTTTTGAGTCTCTTATGACTTCACAGGCAGTAATATGCTAGCATCCCCCAGATCCTTTACGGTTACAACACCTTTTTTTAGAAGGTGCTTTCCTAGAAGAGCCCTCTTGAATTAGATTATACTCCTTCTGCACTTTCTGACATGAAGTGGTAACTGACACAACGGCGTGCAGCCGTCTGTGCTGCGGCAGGGGGCCGATGACTTTCTTTCGCCACGAAACATCCACCCGGCGCTGTTTTTCAGACCTTTCAGTAACGCAGCGGTGCCTGAGCTCGGGGCTCCGAGCTCAGAGCCAAGCCCAGCACCCCGGGCGCGGGGCACGCCGCACGGCGGCAGCACCTCGCTCCCCGACTAAGCCCGGCTTTGCTCGTACCCGGC